ATTCCTTGTTTTGGGCTAGGTTGTAATGTTAGTGTCCTTGTATCTTTGTATTATCTTCTTTCCTTTCTTGAAGTTCTTTGTGACTCTTGGAAGATAAGTGTGTTTGTCTTCCACTTGTAAATTTTCTACTGATGAATTAATGAAAGTGTTATTGATCAAAAAAAAAAAAAAGAAATATCTAAGAGGAGTACACATTTATATGAAATATATGATAGTAGCTCAATCCTCAAAAAAAAAAAAAAGACTTATATAGCTGTCGTGATACCCAAAAAAAACCCTTGCATGCTCATAGCCCAATCTAGCTAAATCATCAATAGCAGTATTCATCTTCTTTGTAATCTGGCAGAAGGTTGTTAAGCAGGAATTGAGAGTGCCTCCAATTTCATTCAGATAGTCTACCAGTCTCCATTATAGTGTTGGCCGAGTCCCCAATAACAAACAAAGATGGCAAATGTACTCTTTTAGTTATTCTTAAACCTGTAAGCACAGCTACATCTGCTTTCAGTGCATCTGCATCTCCTATTGGATCATTAAAAGTCTAGATGCTACCATCATTTTTTTTTCTGTAAACACACTAACTCAATGCCTGATGGTCCTGGGTTTCCATGTGCACTAACATAATTCAATGAGCTCTAGGATGAGGGAACCACCTAGGATTGGGGGGTGAAGAATGATTGAACAACAAATTAAAATTAATAAATTCCTTCTACGAGTTACTGATAAAAAAGTGATTGCACAACAAAACCTCAACCGGATTTCTTTATTATTTGAGGAGGCCTATTTATCTCTTTCCTTCATTCTTTTTCTTTCTAGTTTTTCTTTTGTTCTCTTTATTGCTGTTAAATAATCTTTGCACATATAGTTTCTCAGGCGAGCTGTGTACTCTTTGTTTCTTACCTAAGTCATCATAATGCCTCTTTCTCTTTTCACTAAGCCCTCCTGCCTTGATCTCCATTAATAGTCCTTATCAATACATTATCTTAATCATGCTATTTCTTTCTCTTCCCTATCTACCTCAAAAAAGAAAATTCCTTATCAGCCCATTATCTTAATTCAGATACCACTCATCATCTACCTTAATTTACATATCAGTTTCATGCCTGCATATACCCTAATAGCCATCACAGATCTGTTGGTGAATCTATCTACTATCAGGATGTTGTCAATCCGTAAGTTAACAATTACTTGACCTTATTCCTTCACTCTACTAGGCCTCAAATTACAAAAAACATTCCGTCTCCCCCACCCCTCCTGGGAATATATCCATCTGTGTTCTCAATTACAAAACTTGGATGCTTCAATAGTTCTTATAGCTGAACTTTTCCTGCTCTAATCATCTCCATAACCATTAATCTGACCACTGGATTCCAGTCATCTAAACTCTAAATAGTTTGTTTCAGTAATCTGTGGACAACCTACAGATCTTTTGTGAAAGTACAAAGAACAAAGAAAGCAGAAACTGTTTACAAGCACAACTTTATTTATTAATTAATTCTCTATTTGTTTATTTTTAATCAGTACAACGAGCAATCAGAAATGAAATCTACTATTCTAAAGAAAATACGAGTAGGAGTTACCTCACAAAATTAGGCAAAATACACCGAGTATATTTAAACCAACCATAACCAAGAACCAAAAGAACTATAACTGACACTTGTGAATTGTATAACCAAACAGGGGGTGGATAGGGATCAACTTTTTTGGGGTTACTAGTTGTATATAAAGTGATTGTATGGGGTTAGGTAGCAGAAGCTAGCCTAACAAAAAGGGAGAAGCTTGACACTTTGCTTTATGTAGAACATTATTTTTAACAAAATTGACTTTTAACAATAAGAAAAAACACTTGGGAATTCTCATCATCACCATATTAGAGACCATAGCTGAGTATGGTTTTCTCCAAGACTTTTGAAAGATAATCAGAGATACCCCCTAAAATATCGTTCAAGAACAGAGAACTGCCAAATTGATAGCACTTTAGAACTTTGCTGTCCCTTTACAATAAAGCCATCATTCTGATCTAATCTATAAGCATAGATATTTTTGTTGATGAGTAACTTGTTTAATATGCTTAATTGAAATCGAGAGAAAATTATGTACATACAGCAAGCATCCCTTAGATTAAGATGGCCTTTTCACTTTCTTTGTGAATCAAAAGTTAGCCCCTGTACCCCAAAACAAATTGTCTCTATCCATCTTTATTTTGCCAAAGTGTCCGCCAGACCATGAGGTATTGAGTTGTCAATGATGTTGAGGGGAGAACATGAGCTAGGTTTTCTTATGATCAGAACTTTGGGTGGTCAGGTGGATACTGATACACTTGAAACAGTCAAGGGAGATGCTTCTGAAGGAATGGAAATGGAGTGCGGCTCAATAATCCCCAAGCCATTAGAGGAGATCGCATACAAGGATCTCCACAAGTTGAATCTGGGAGAAGACATGAGTATATTACAAGTACATGAAATTTTCTTACAACCTATGCTTAAGGAAAGCCTGCAACAACAAGTTGCTATGGTGATTCTCACTGATGTTCAGAGTTTATCCTAGGGAGGTTTTAGATGCAAATACTACAAGAGATGTAAAGAATGGATGGACAGAAATTCAGGTAGGTAGATTGAGCATTGATTTATGTTGTAGCAGAAGGTCCAATTCTCAGTCATGGAGCTTGGAAGGTATGGGGAGACAAATCGCAGATGTGAAAAGCCATAGATTTGTTCATGTAACCAAAGTTTTTTCTTGGTTAAAGAGAAGTTTGTGTGGTCCAGAGCTGTTTAGAGTTTCAAGAAGGTCAATAATAGAAAAGATGGAAAGGTTCCTAATCAGAGAGCAGGATGGAAAGTTGAAAATTTGAAGGAGGATCCAAAACACGGATCAACCTTGTACAGTTTGATAGGCGGGGATTTTCCACATTTGAATTGAATGATGTTTAAAACTAAAGGCTTACCAATTAGGTTAACAAATAAAAAGAAAATACCAATGACTATTAAGAGGTTGAAGGGGGTTCCATGCTGGTTGTGAACTGGATGAATAACGGTACTCAAGGAAATTGGATTTACAGGTAAGCATGAGAGAAATCAGACAATTATCAAGAGAGGCAGATGCCACCTTTAGATGGATTAACAGACCAGCAAATGGTTTGGCTGATACCTTTGCCAAACAAGGGTGGTTTTTAGTGGACAACTTTTTTGGGCTTCATTGTATAATTGATGCCATAAAGAGGTGACTCTTCAGGAGCCTAAGCTGTAAACCTGTTATATTTATTAAGAGTCACTGATCAAAAGAAATTCCTATTGTAATTATGTGGGGGTACCTAAGAAAATAAATATACATATACATGGATATTTCAATTAGAAATGACTTCAATTGAGTAGAAGTTCAAAATTAGAAGCCTATGGTACCAGAACACTAACAAAAAAAAAATGATACCAGGATAATACTTGTACTGATGTACATTATTTTGTTGTGTGTTAGACACTTGTTCTCCATGTCCAACACCTTGTCCAGCTGTGTCTTTACCAAAAAGAGAAATTTGGGTTATAACATATTCCCAACATTTGTACAATGGCATAAATGTAACATTGGCAGAACGTTTGCAGATCTTATTGGTTGGTTTCCAATACCCCATGCATATCAAATGCATAAAACAATAATATTTGGGGGAGCATTCTATGGCCATTTTATAGAAGGGAAGAAAATGATAAAAAGAACCAACTTCCCCAACATCTATCTATTAAGGAATCCTAACTACTTCTCATGATATAGCAAGCTTGTCTACACATAAATTCAAGCAGAGATTGATGGAGATAATAAAAAAATAAAAAGTCCAGAGCCATCATTTTAGAGATGATATCGACGAACCTTGGTGATGACAGACCACCTGCAAACACATTTGAGTATGACTTTGTCAAATATGAGAAGTTGGCAATAGGCGGTAGAGCAGGCACCTGTTCACCTTTCCTTAGAAGTTGTTGCAAGTCAAGCCTCTGCAAGGTCAAGACAACTCTTGTTTCTTTCCAAATGAATGCAAGCAATCCATTTTGAATCACAAATAGAGAACCAGGCTTGGAGCCTGGATATCTGAAGCCATAGCCATTTGCAATGCCCTCCCCATTGTAAGCATGCAGCATATCCACAGGAAAGGAATTTCCATCATTATCCCATGGAAATGGATCCTGTAAAGGCTCATCAACCTTTACAACAAACATTGCCGAGCCATTTGGATGAAGGACATAATGGGTGCCTTCTAATATTTTGGTTGCAATGAGAAGTCGTTGCCCCTCGGTTTCTTCATAAGAAAGCAAAAGCAAAAACAGAGCCTTTCCGGGTTTGTCTTCGGAAGATCTACCAGGAGGCCAGCCAAAGGTGCCACCCCATAGGCCAGCATACTCTTCACCAGCTGCAGGGGCCCTTGTGGGCAACTTATATAGGGCAAACCGGTTGTCAGGCATGTTTGGCCATGCTCGATAAGTGGTTAACTTCATAGTAGAGGCATGCAGGTTAAGTCCTAATGTGTCACCAGACATTAGAAACTCATGAAGCTGTGCATGCTTCTTCCCACTGCTTGAAGTACCATTTTTTGAACTTGAACGACTGCCATTAACCGAGTTTGACCTCCCAAGGATTTGTTTCAGTCCATCCCTAAAATATCCTGCAACAGTTTTGCTCCTTCTACGCTGTGAGTGACTTTCTTCCCCATTAAGAGAACCATGACAACCACTTGAACGATCAAGACTCTTTTTAATCTTGCTCAAATCCATCTGGGTGGGATCTGACTGCAATCCAGGAGCTGCCTCCCAATCGAAGTGCCCAACACCAAGCCTATGCATCTGCAAAAGCAGCATACGACGCTCGGACAAGAGCACCATATCCCTCTGAAATTTCTTATAATCATCACTCGATCTGGGAAAAAGAGGCCCGATTGCTGAATCAGGAACTTTTAAGCGGACTACATTAGTGACAATCTCGAGCAGCTTCCGGCGATCTCCGAAGGCCAATTGGCTGAAAGGAATCGATTCGTTTGGTTCAGTCATCCGTTGTGACCTGGAAATCCCATTGTCCGACATAGAAATCCTTCTAGACAGCTCCCTATCGGAATGAAGATGAACAAGACTCTTACTATGCGACAATCTCCTTTCAGAGTTCTGCATTTGTGGCTCAACCTCAAGTAGAAGCACATTACAGGTCCTATGAATCGGCTTCAGGGAACCAGGATAGAAGTAGTCACCATCCTTCTCTCTCCCATGAAGGAAGAACGCCATTGAACCATCACAGTCACCAATGATCTCAAAGACCGGAGCCCACAGAAGGGGACCATCCTCAAGACCCAAAGGGCCAAGCTCTTGTGGAATGATCCTGCACCCAACAACGGATATGAAACCAGGCATGACGTAAACTACATTGCCGAGCTCAGGGTTTTGGTGCACCCAGATGCCAATTAAGGGTCGAACACCGACGAGGAATCGACATAGGGCCTTGTAGGAGATGACACCCTCACGCCACTCAGAAAGTTCCCGAGCAGCGACAAGCCCCAAAGCCTCGCACTGCACGAACCAAACCTTGTCTGTTGCAGCGAGAGCGTTAAGGCTCCGGCAGCTTAGGCTGAGGCTGCATATGTCCCTCGGAGAGAGGAAACGGGAAATGATAGCAAAAACATCATCAGGCAGAGCTGATAGCAAATCAGATCCACGGGGAAGAGCTTGATCCATCATTAAACGAACTGATTGATGGTCCATGGCAGAAACCCCACAAAATTGAGTTGCAAATCTGTGCATAGAATCTACATAAACCCTAGGATTCAGCAAAACCATTCAATTCCGAATCTATAACATGTATCCATTATCAGTAACAACATCAAAATCAATAACAACAACAACAAACAAGCAAACAACAATAGCAGCGAATGCTAAGGGGAGATCCTCTAAAACCCTCATAAACCCTCTTTCAGAAGGGGAAAAAGAAACAGAATTTAGATATTGAAACCTGGAAACGAACTGGGTATCTTTCGGATTCTCCAAAAGTTGTCTCAGAGGAACCGTGCATGGCGGGGAGAGAGGGAGAGAGAGTTCAGACTTGTCAGAAAAGAATAAAGAAATACAAGAACAAGCAGTGTAATTATTGAAGATGGGCAGAAGCAAGGTGGGTATTCTTCGCAATCGTCGTCGTTGAATCAACTCAACGACAAATCATCATCGATGAGCCCTTCACCTCCTCTCAATTAAAAGGGGAATGATGAAGAGAAGCGAAAGATGTGATTAATTAGCCTAATACGGCAATTAATTACTCAATTTATTTAATTCATTTTTCAATAATGAAGAGAAAAGACAGACGAAATTCATCTCTCCATCTCTAACAGTTTAACGGGGGCCAACCAATCCTGATTATTGAATGGGATTAGTTGAAGGTAAGCTACCAGCAGAGTCCAACTCATTAGGGCTTTTTTATTCTTTTCAGCATTGACGCCTGCTTTGGGTGATTAAAAAGTCTTTGGCACTTGGGTCAGCACACCTGCAGTAGTCCTACCAGGCCCATTGGAGCTTGGAAGCTTACATGAGGACCCAGCTGTAGAACTACTCGAAACCCTTTGTTTTGAGTGGGTAAATTAGGTTTCTTGGGGCTGTTTGATAACTGCTGAAATGGCATGAATGACTCATTGTTTTGTTTTTTAGTGGATAAAATAATTAAACAGTAAAATAATCCGAGGGATGTGATGATCAACCAGACTTGGGCTATCATAGAGTCACGACCTCCTAGAAAACTTATTAATTGAATGACCAAGTGATAAGTCATTCAGTTCAGCCACTTCAGCTGTTATCAATTGGCCCCTTATTTTGAAAATTTAGATTAATTAATTCATTGTTTTATTTTTTAATGGATAAAATAATTAAACAGTAAAAATAATTTGAGGGATGTGATGATCAATCAGACTTGGGCTATCATAGAGTTCACAACCTTTTTGAAAACTTATTAATTGTATGACGAAACAATAAGTCATTCAGTTCAGCCACTTCAGTTGTTATCGATTGGCCCTTTATTTTGAAAATTTAGGTTAATTAATTCTCTTAAATTTATGGGGAGGTTTTTTCCAATGTATGAATAGATACCAATACTTTCTGGGTGTCTGCAAGATCTTACATCCTTACCGTCAAACCCCTAAAAAATAGTAACCAAAAAATTTTCAAAAATAAAAATCTATATTTTTGGTAGAAAAAAGATGACAAAAATCTACTTGGGTCTTAGAAGTAGACTGGGTACCATCCCTTTTTTTGGTACATGAAGACTGCGTACCACCCTGACCTTTAGCATGTTTTCACACAAAGTGACATGTTTAGACTTGAACTAGGGATGATCATGGGCTGGGCCAGGCCGGGCTTTGCCTTCATAACAACGGGCTTAGGTTAGGTCCGGGCCCAGCCTGACCCATATTATGGGACTAAAAATATAAGCCCAGGCCTGGCCTTACATGGGCCCGGGTTAGGCCGGGCCAAAATTCCAAGCCTAATTATTGTATTTCAATTCCAAAATTAAACAATTGTACCTTTTTTTCACTTATTGTCGTGAAGACTATAGTAACCTGTAAGAAACTTTAAACTTAATATCAAGATAAAAGCTTCTAACATAAAAGAAATTAAATAATTATACCTTGTAATTTATAAGTTTCAATTGGTCATTAGTATGTTAAAAATGATAATTTAAACAAACTAATTCTTCTATCAACAAAAAATCAACCTAAAACCTATAATACCTATCAAAAAATAACCATCCATTGTCAGTAATATCCATAAAACAACTTTAAACATCTCTATAAGTGGCTCCATCTTCCATTCAATTCTTACAAAGTGAAATAAAAAAGATATTAGCAAACTAAGAAAAAATAGTTCAAATTAATGTAAATAAATTAATAAAATATTGAAAATGGTTTCAATTTTACCCAAAACTTGCAACCAATCTAAATTTCAGATTTGTCTTCATCACTAGAAGATTCGTCTTTTGGTGAGAGAGAGAGAGAGAGAGATTGGGCATGGCGGTGGTTTTGTGAAATTGGTGAGAGAGAGCCAAGAAGATTAGGGTTTAGTAATTTCTATATTTCATTAAATACTATATTAGAATTTGGTAAAATCTAAGACCGTAGGATTAAAATCTTTAATCTCCTACAAATCTCTATTTAATATATAAAACATCAATTATCAAATATTTTTAAATAACATATATACATAAATATATATATATATATATATTATTTATAAACATCTGGGCCAGGCTAGGTCTAAAAAAATTAGGCCCAAACCCGGCCCTAAATTTTGCGGGCTTGGCCGGGCTAGGCTGAAATGATCATTTTACCTAGGGATGCAAATGGATTGGATCGGATTTGAATCAATCAGACACTGTTCATGTCAGATCCGATCCGATTAGATGTGTAAAACGGGTTATGCCACAGCCCGCGTTGGCCTTGGGTTGTGCCGCCCTCCCTAGGGATAATTTGGGGGGGTTGGCCCAACATGGCCCACGGCCCAAGCCCATGCGGGCCTGTGCTGAGCTGTAGGCCTGGGCGGGGCCATAGGGCGAACATTGGATATGGGACAAATCGGACCAAACTGTTTTTGTTTTTTTTTTGTTTTTTTGACATTTTGTATTTTTTTATTTCTTTGCTAAGTAAAACTAAAATATTTAACTTTCCTTCTATTTGAAAAATAAGAAATCTAACAAATAAATAAAAAAAAAATACTTAACCAAATAAGAAGTCAAAGAGACAAAAACTCAAAGTGAATAACAAATTGGAAGAAAAATAGGAATTTATTTCATTTAAATTTGAATGATACAAAGCATACAATGGTTGGATGAATGAAATATGAAGATTGAAAATGGAATAAATTAATAAATTATAAAAAATACAATATAGCTACAGATTGAAAATAAAAACTACGTTATTAAAAAATATCAAATAAATTAAATAAAATTAAAACAAAATTTACAATAATTTGAAAAAATGCTATACAACTATTGAGTATACAAAAAATATTGACTTCATCATTTTCTCCTACTGTTCTTGACTTTGATCATTTGCTTCAGGTGAAACATCAGATGTAGTGTTATGCCCTCTTTTGTCTTATAATCTATCTTCAACATCCAACAAATCTTTAAAGTAGATGCACATATCTAGACTTTCATCATTCATACAACTTCTCTTGTCATCCAATACCCTAGTATGTACACTAAAACAAGATTCCGATGGAACTGTAGACACTGGAGGGGTTAGTAGATCACGTGTCATAGCAACGAGAATTGGATAATTTTTTGCATGTTCACTCCACCAGGCTAAAATATCAAAATTATTTGTTCCTTCCGAGGTGAAGGAAGAATCACCTAAAGTAGAAAAATTTGCTTGTAAATAAAAATTAAGTTCAATAAATTAACTTGTTGTCGAGGCAATGAAATTTTTGTTTCTTATTGAATAAAAAAGTTTTTCTCTTCCACTACTGGACTCAAGTTCAGAAGTGGAAGATGCAACTGTACAAATAATAAACTATTAATTTCTTTTTTTTTCAATTTCAATATTCATAGTTTCACAATATGTTTGAAGTAAAATATCTCAACCATCTTTCCTAATCCTAGGATCTAATATGAATAGAAATAATATTTAAAGCATCCGGAATACATAAATTTAAGATGTGAGATGCACATCTGATATGAAATAATTTACCATTTAAACATGGTTTTAATTAAAACTTTAAAATATTTATTACTGAATCATTATTACTAGTATTATCAAAACTAATAGAAAATAATTTATTATCAATTCTATAAGCATGTAAAGTACTTAAAATACTTGCAACAATAGTTGGGCCAGTATGCGGCCATTCAAGCCTAGTACAAGGTCCAAAGTATCGGAAACGTAAGGTGTATCGAAAAGATAATTTTAAGAGACGTTTCGGGATACATTTTGGATATGCATGGACACATATGAAAAATCAAGATACGCATGGATACATTAGAAAACTTATATAAATCTTAAAAAATACATTAATAACAATAAATATAAATTTTATATGACCTTAAACAAATTATTTAAACACTTATAAAGAAAACAAGGTATTTAAACATACAAACCCATACCTCAATAGTTTATATAAAATGTGAGAAATAGGGGAAAATTGGCAATTGTTGAAGATAATGGAAGAAGTAAAATGTGTATTAATTTTTAGAAAATCAATATAATTTATATTAACGTTTATTAGTATATAAATTTTAATAATCAATTTTAACATTAATTAATGAACATCCATTAAGAAGAAAAATATTTGCTAAGAATAATAATACATACAACTATAATCAACAATTGAATATGGTGTAGTGGTTTGTTTATATTTATTAGAAGCATACTACCAAGGTTCAATTCTCCTTACCTTTCTTATTTGTAGTTTTAAATATGTTGGTTTAATGACAAGTCAACTTCGAATTTATTGCTTTAATGGCGGGTCAAATTAAAATTTGAACTTGAATATTGTCATAAATGTAGTAATTAATTATTAATTAAGAGAGAAAAGGAGTTATTAAGAGAGAGGTAATACAAACGAAAAGAAACAAAACTATTGGATTTGTAGTGTTCCATGTATCGGGATGTTGCTAGAATGATACGCATCGGCCGTATCGGCTGATAAGTTGTGATTTTTTAAACCTTGGCCTAGTAAAACTTAAAATTCTTTTATTTAAAAGTCAATTTTCAACAATAAAATGTCTGGTAACACAAATATAACTTATGTTAAATTCAGAACTCCAAATACCATAAGTAATTGTAACTTTAGAATTAAGATTTGATAACATATAAATTAAATTTTGTTTATATGAATAAAAAATTTTTAAATCATATGATCTAATGGTATTCCTAGAAAATTTTTTAAATTTGGGATTTATAGAATTGCAAAACCATTTTTCAAGTTTAGTATCTTCAACTAACAAAAATGGTTGTTCAGCATATACAATGTATTTTGCTAATTCTTGCCTTACGCAAATGTCTGCCCAAATGGCCAGTACCACCCTTGCTACAATAGCTAGTCTTTCCTACATATTTGGCAAACAACTCTTTTTCCCTCCCCTGAACCTCCTCTATTTTAAATATTTTTCCAAATTGGGCTAATCAACTTAGTGGCATTCTTTTTATTTCCTCTAGTATCAGTACTAGGGTCGGAAGCTTCATCAATATAAATAACATCCATATTGGTGTTAATACAACAATGTTGCAATTGAATATCGGCGAC